CTGTCTTTCAGGGCTATGTTTTTGTTCATAACTAAAAACCAATGCAGCACGATGCCATTTTCTTTTTCCTTCTCCTCATCCAGAACTGCTCTGAGGTGTAAACACAGCTCTGGAATTTATACTAAGAAGTTTTCTGAAAAGCATATACAGCCTGTTAGTGCCCTCAGTTACCACACACGATCTGGGCAGCTGGTATCCTGAGATACTGCACTGTTCTTATGTCAGGAAACATTGATGAAAAAGTAATGGTTATATAAAAAAAAAAAACAGGAGTCTTTTTGTTATACCCTGGTAGGGTTTTTGTTTTAATTTCTGTATGCATGCACAGCAGTCCACATGAGAACAGCCGTATCTTAGCAAATCACAGGGTTCTTCTTAATCCTAGAATAGTTTGGGTTGGAAGGGACCTTAAAGCTCATCCAGTTCCAACCTCTGCCACAGGCAGGGACACCTTCCACTACAGCAGGTTGCTCCAAGCCCCTGTGTCCAACCTGGCCTTGAACACTGCCAGGCATGGGGCAGCCACAGCTTCTCTGGGCACCCTGTGCCAGCGCCTCGGCACCCTCAGAGGGAAGAACTTTGCCTAAGAGCTCATCTCAGTCTCTCCTCTGTCACTTTAAAGCCATTCCCCTTGTCCTGTCCCTACAGGCCCTTGTCCAAAGCCCCCCTACATGTTTCTTGTAGCCCCTGACGCACCGGAAGATGCCCTAAGGGCGGCGCGGCGGGGAAGGGAGCGCTCCTCCCCTCAGGGAAGCGAAGCGCGGGCTCCGCACGCCGCCCGCCCTCAGCCCTTCGCCGGCCCTGCTCAGCCAGCCCGCGGCGCGTACCTTTGGGGAAGACGAGCTGCGAAGCATCCTCCTCCACGTCCGCCGACCGCGGGTCGCCGCCGCCCGCCGCCATCGCCTCAGCCGCACCGGAAGCCCCGCCGCCCGCCAGAGGGAGCCGCTGCTCCGGAGCCACCCGGCGCTGACAGGAGGCGGGGCGGGCCTGGGCCGGGCTAGGCGGGAGGGAGGAGCGGTGCTGGGGGGGGCGCAAGCCACGATCTGAAGGCGCAGACTGTGTGTGTGGGAACCGCCCGACACCGGCTTTCACACGAGCAAACACGGAGAAGGCTCCTTCTGCTCGGTTCATCAGGAGATAGATGAAGAGCTCAAAACTGTGCCGGTCCCCTTCATGAGACTGTGCAGCAGCAGATGGATCTTCACCGGGCTGGCTTCACACCACTAGTGAATCACAGAGATAGAGCCTGTTCCGTTCGGCTACCAGGGCATCCTCCAGCCACACAGCAAACTGTGACCTGAGGAAGTGTTAACTGTGTACCAGGCTTTCTGTCTAGCTCCCTGTGGTTAATATACCTCAGTCTGTATGGATATCATAAATCACGCACTTTGAAAAGCTGCTTTTACAGGCTATCCAGGAGCAATTTCCAGACCCCGGAAAGTCACAGGCAAGCTGAACATGGTAACAGCTCTCCCAACACTATGTCATCGAAACTGTGCAGGCAGAATAACTTACGAAGTAGTATTTTCCCTGGAGAGCTCACATGTAAGTGCCAAACCAGCCTAAGACTCCTCAAGTAATCATCTTATCAGACCTTACCATGTCATCCTGCACCCTTAAAGAAAGGTAAAAATAGACTGTTGGGGGATTTATGATGAAACCACCCCTGTTATCGTCAACTTGCATCTGTGCCTAGGTGAATCGTTTCCTGCATGCTGGGAAAAGGAATGCATTAAACATAAACTGTAAGAACATAAAAGAATCAAGTAACAGATCTTTAACATTTGTTACCTGGATAAATAAGCATGCAGGAAAACTGACTGAAAACTGGTTCACCATGTGGTACAAGCAGAAAGACATTCAGGAACATGGAATGAAAATATCTCAGAGAACATCTGGCAAGTTAAACAAATTCAATTTGGTTTACAGGAAAGCAAGGAAATTCGTGCCAGACTGATGAGAGTAGCATTTGAAATCACTTGGAATCCTCATGGCTTCTCATTCTATCTACTGAGAACCTCATGATTCTCAGAGCAGCAGGTAGTTTGCAGAAGTTACTAATTCCCCAACACCCCCCCCCCCCCCGGATTTGTTCTACGTAACTATACAAAATCAAACACAATTAAGAGAAAGTCAGATACTTGCAAGAGTTTATAAGTACAGCTAAAGAAGCTATCATGAAAGGTAAAGGTTCATTATCACCAATAGGTTTGGTTAAGGTCTCAAGTGTCAAACAAGAAATAAATAAGAGCATTCCAACTTTAATAATAGCCCCCCAAACCTAAAAAACACAGTAAATATTGTTCAGCTACTACAACAAGCTAAACTTAACAGAGTGCTTGATTTTTCTGTGTTATTTTTAAAGTGCACTGGCTTCCTCCTCACTAATGACTGCTCCAGCATTTCGATTGCAAAATGTGCATAAAGAAGGAAGATGAGCTAGGTTAAAATAAAGTGAATGACTATACGAAGATGCAGACATATTTACAGGCTGTATCCTAAAATGAACTGACTAAAAAAAGACTTGGCCAAATGTAATTTATCATGAAACAGAGCCTCTAGTATTCCATATTCCAGGACAAAAAGTACTGACTTGCTGGAGCCGCATTATTAGGTAGTGGATTGTTAGATAGACCTACTATGGTAATTTCTACATTGCCATAGTGTAAAAACAACCCAGTAACAACTAAATGCTCCAGCACGGTTGTTAAAAAAAATAGCATGGATTAAAATTGATGAGATTAGGATATTGAAACCTTAATCTCTTTTCATTGTCATCAACATCTCTAGCATGTGACAAGAGTAGATTCTTGGGGAGATAACATCACCAGCTCAGACCACAACGTGCCATAATAGCACATGATGCATGCTTTTTCACCTGTGTTCTCAAATTGTAACTCTTCAGGTTTAGTTTTTCATACCATTTTACCTGTGTTTATTTTTACTGCTTTTAAAAGTATCTAGCCAAAACTAATGGACACATATAAGCAATATTAATCATATTAATACCAGTAATAAAGCAATAATAAGCCTCTGAATGCAAAACTGGCTCCTGCACAATCTGTTAAGTTTTAAAGTACATATATAATGACATCTAAACATACTATCAGCTGGTTGCGCAATATATAATTAATGTCAGAATTCATCTAGGAGTAGTCTAGCTGACTATAAAGAAGATAAAAAACCATGGTTCAGTAATCTGGATATCGGTCAACTAGTAGAGTTACACACTTGTTTTAAGGAACATGGTAACAATAGTCTTCTTGGCTTTCCGAGTTTTAGGAGTGATCATCAAATATATTTGCAGGTCATCTTTTCCCAGACTGTAGCAAAAGTTTAGGAACTTTCCAGTCCTACTTCTCTATCCCACTACTACAACTCAGTTCGAGAGCAATCCTCAAAATACATAGGTCAGTATAAATATTAATTTATTGAGTCACGGGGGTGTTAGTTTTAATCTTCTAGAAGTGGCATTTCTCACTCAGAATAGGGTAGCTTATAATATAAATTTAGACAAAAAAAAGTATTTTTTTGTGTGTGTGTTTAGAAAAAAAATCCTCAAGTATTCTTCATTTGAAGTTATCTTGTAGAAATTTCTAACCTTCCTGTAATTTGTTTTTAGAAGGGAGTGAGTGCTAAATGGCCAATCCATGCTTCTTATTTCAAACAGAAGTGAAAAAAGAAGCAAGAGTTTTCTGGAGAATTATCCTGGCTTACATTTAGTCTGGACTGAACTATTTCAGTGTGCAGTCATATGTATGCCCTTTTACCTGGCCTCATTGTCACTGTGAGATGCTGAGTGTTACTGCTGTCACAGAAAGCAACAAGCATGAAGGAACTTCTGATGAGACACTGCACAAAGACTTTATGTCTGACCAAATCTGGTTTATGTGAAACTAAAACAATCAAGTAAGGAAAAAACATATGCCATAAAAATACACAAGTAAGTCACCGTATTCTAGCCAGCAACAAATCTGAGAGAATATACTTGATAAATTGCCTGGGCACATGACAACAGTGCAAGCTGATTGTAAAGTTAACTTCAGAATTTACAATAAGTCACTTGGAAACCAGTTTAGCCCCAGAGCCCTCCTCAGCCCACTCCTCATATTACATAGGGGATTTACTTCCTAGCTGTACTAGTACCAGAAATGTATTTTCTGAAAATATGGTTTTGCTTTGTAGTTGCACTGAAGTCAATGAGCCTCTCGGATATACTTAGGTCAAAACTATGCCCCCCTCCTTGGTTTGGTTGGGGGCTTTGATGGGTGTAGCTGTTGTTGATCAATATCCAGGGCTGCCCTTCCCAAGAACCCACACAGGAAATGTAGGATCTTTATATATCTGCCATAGATAAAAAATGAACAATGACCTGAAGAAAAAACCCCAAACATTACACAAATCAATAGATCTTTTCCCTAACATGAAAAGATCTAGCAAGAATCTAGAGAGATGGACATTGCTTTTTCCTGAAATCAAACGTTGAAGTCATCTGAAGACTACGACCTGTGAAGTGCAGATAATCTATTTTCATTAGTTCATTTTAAAATAGCAAAGAACAAAGAACAAATAACAATTCTGGAAGTTTAAGCCAGGTTTCTGAATTCAAGGTTTTCAGTACAATACAGAATTCTGTATGTATGTGCTTTATTTATTTTCCCATCATGACAACTAACAGAGTTATTGTCAAGCAAACATCATTTCAGGATACAAAGATACTTTGCTATGCCATTATTAATAAAACATATTTAATCTTTGTTTCTACATTTCCCTACTGTTTTTCCTCAGTTTCTTCCAGTGAGCCTGTCTTTTGACTGTATTATGCTTCCAGATAGCTGTCATCCCATTCTGTCAACCCTCCTGGCTCTGAACATTTAATCTAATGTACAGGTCGGGTATTCATATATGAAGTGTATTGTTCATCTTTTTAGATAAGAAAGATTTCACCTTATTCCCCATGAAGGCTCTGAGAAAACATATAAAGAGGACAGTACAAATAGTCTTTATCCATTATGATTTATTCTCTACAATACTTCATTAGAGGATAGAGTTCAATTATTTACACTCAGAAGTTATAATATAGGTAGGAGGCAACCAAGTGTAATACAAAGAATTGGTCTGACATCTCTGCACTGAAGGTCAAAAGAGGTCTCCTGCTTTAAGGAAATAAATTAACCAAAAAAAAACCCAAGAAAACAACATGTAGTTTCCAGAATACAAACAGAAAACAGCACTAATAGTGAAGATTGCAGATGTCTGTTAATGTACTATGAAAACAAATCATTCTGTGCAAAGGTTAAAATGAACTCTTAGATTCTCTTACGGATTTTTTTCTCTGATAAATTGTAGATATGTGATATTTTGATTATAAAACATTCCCAAACTGAAATGGCATCAGCTGAGATTGACTGTTGAACATTATGGAAAAAGAAAAAGGTAAAGAACCTCACAGTGGCAACATTCCAACACTGACAGACTCCAGTGATCAAAGACATTCTCCTGCAGTTACTGTAAAACAAAGACAATTCATAATTGCAGTGAGATTATTTCTCATTTGTGGTTGTCATGAGAATAAGCCCTTCTAGACCAAAAGGCACTTGCTCCTAAGGATGAGTTAAGTCCAGATCAAACCAGGTAGCAGTTGCTTTGAGAAGGAGCAGTTCTAACCTGCGGTCCCAGTCAAATTACTGTTGAGAAATTCTTACATCAACTGGTCACTGATCTTGGTCGCCTCTGTCTCAAGACAACTCAAAGCAAGTTTTGTTTCTAGTTCACCTCTTCCATCCTTATGCATAGCTGCCATGTAATGATCTAGAAATGGGATTATTTCCTGAGACCACATGTCCTTGTCATGCATTTTTCTTCTGAGCTAACTTAACTATTGACACACCTTTTGACTAGTTTTACAGCTGGACCCTTATGGGACTAAAGCTGCGAGGGCCTGTTTCTTAGGCAGACCAATGTTTCTGATTTGCCAACTTCTTTTCTCACTGCAACAAGACAAGAACACAGTACATATTTAGAGGCATTTTTGTTTTTGCTTTCTTAAACAGGCTGAGTGGGGAAATGGAAGTGGGAGAGGATAAAACTTCCCCAGTCCCAGACCACCTGCCCACTTCAGGCTTCAACCAACCAAGTCACTCGATCCTAAAATCCTGTTCTTAAAAATGACAGCTAACCCTCCCCACCCCACCCCTTAGATATCCCCTATTCAAATAAAATGAAATCAGGAAACACCATACACTGTTGAAGACACAGAACAGGGCAAACATTGGGAAAAGAAACAATACTGTTGAAAAGCCTGGCACTATATGCCTGCATGACCAGTCTCACTGAGCGTGCTCAGGGGTGAAGTTTTAGCACCATTTTTTTTGCTTGTTTTAAACTTCTTAGAAATTAAATTCTAACATAGAACACTTGAACAGTAATGAGTGTAGCCCTATGTATCATACTGTTTGACAGCTGAAAGGTGAATGGCATGTCCAGAGCTGACCCCACCCTCGCCCATCACTACACGGCACCTGGGAGAGTAATTACAAACCACTCGAGTTTTTAACAAGACCGATTTATTCTCAGCAGCAGGAAACGAAGAAACAATCCCTTAATCTTCAACTGCTTTTCAACAACATCACAAGGGAAAAGTGGCAATTTCTAAGGACGACCCAGTACAGGAGGAAAGCTGGGTCAATATTGCACCATTATCCAGAATAGGACCCCCTCCTTTCCCTCACGTATCTGTCCTCCAGCAGGAGGATATTACACCAATATGAAGCAAAACTGCACAATTCTGTGTGCTTCTCTAGGACCAGAAGGAGCAGCAGCATGCAGTTCTGAGCTTTCTACCAGCCCTATTCCCTGCCATGCCAGGAGAGAATTTCAGGCTTCAAACACCAGTCAGTTTTAAAAGCCATCATTACCACACGCATGAAAGCTTTAAAGATATACGCAACCAAGCAGCCATTACTCTTGCTATGCACTTGTTTTTTTCTTTCCCAATCATTGTTGACCATACAGAAACTTGGAAAACAAAGCAAGCCCCCACAAATTACATTTGGACATCCATCACTGAGTTCACGACATCCCTCAATGACACTGCAGAATAACAACGGGATAACTTCACTCTTCCTTTTAGGAGAAAGTATTTCTTGTAATCATCAACGATGGGAGAAGAAACAAGGGATGCATACGAGTTTTACACACTCTGGGTAATACGGGTTTCCCCACTCATTGCCTTAATGTGGTAATGATTAAACTGTGTAAGATAATAATTTACCAGTTAAACTACACAGCTCTTCTCTATAGGCCTGCTATAAACTGGAATACTCACAGTTCTCAAAGGTCAGTAGTCACACCAGAGAAAGTGGCTGTCCTGTCAAAAGGAAGGTCCCCGAGACTTTAGCTTAAGCTAAACAGATTTCAGTCACTAGTCTCGCTTGTATGACTACAGCCAATGCCCTCCCCACCCCTCGTGCAATCAGGCTCTGCTACAAATGTTTAGGCAAAACACTTGGTTGCAACAGAGCAGACTGTCCACGGACACTCAAGTAACTCATCCTATGCACACACAGCATGTGCCATGCTGCTCTCTTACAGGTCTAATAGTATTCTGTTTCATAGCAGGCTGCATTACAAAGCACTGTCTGAAAAAAACCCAGAAAACTGTAAACGAAGAGGATTTCTAGAAACCCATCCCTCAGTGGGATCTGATAATTAAAGCCTTCTTATTTAAATAATAAATTCATCTGCAATACCATCCAAAGGCTTTTCACGTCTTTAAGTGTTTTCTGTCTGCGAGGATGAGGTGCTATCCAGATGTGCAACACTCCCCAGTATCATAATGTCCGTCTGTGATGTGTGGGGACTGCAATCAGCTCTCAGTACACAACAGATACAAGAGATTAAAAAAAAAATCAACTTAAAAAGAACCTAAAAAATGTTTTGTTGGACTCCGTTGCCCAGACTGCCAGGGGAATGATCCTACTTGATCTGGGGGGCTTCCATAACAAACAACTCAAGATTCCAGAGCGTCGGTAATACACAAGAATGCATCAGTCCGAAGTGGCACTTTCACTCCTAGAGGTCTTCTGCACCTCACGACAGTTCATAGGCATGGAGCCCCAATCCAACTGAACCCTCGTTCAGAGGGAAGGCTGAGATAAGGCTTGGGCCCCTGAAGTTCTGTCATGCTCTCATCGTCCCCCCAGGTCAGCTGGAAGGCAGACTTGGCAACGGAAGCTAGCATCATAAAATGGTGCAGTAATAGAAATAACTGGACCAGGAAGAGGAGGCATCTGCCCCAATGATGTCATAGCTGTTGGCAGCAACTGGGGAGTGGGACTGGTCATGCAGCCGTGTGTCAGGAGTAATGATTGTAAAGGGGGGGGGCATGAAGAGTGCCATTCTGGAAACAATGCTGACGCGAGGCCATGTATTCTGCATAACTGATTGTCACCTTCTCACTGCGGTACCTATGGGAACAGCACAAGAAAAAATAATGTAAACAGACTATGCAACATGAAGGGACTAGGCAACATGAAGGGACTAGGCATAAAAACATTCATCCCAGATCCCCTTTTAGCTCATGACCAGTAGTGACCAAGAGGAATCCTACTAACTTCATAAATTACTTGGTTTTGTTTTATATTGCCTCATACAGCAGTCTGAATAAGTCTGAATTAGCTTCACTGTCCCAAAAGTTGAACCCTATTCAAGGCAATCATAATTAAGAAGACTCCTGAAGCAGTACACAGGAAACAAATGATCCATTTGTATTCCTTTTATCCACTTGCTGTGGAAAAAAAGGGACACAAAAAGTTGTCTGGGAACAGACTCAGTTTCAGCGACTAAACAACCAGTATTTCACTATTACTTACTTTTGTGATTATCTCCACATTTGAAAAGCCAGTAACGAAAATGATGGAGTTGGGTAAAGGGGATTCACATGTATGTGACTTGGGCCATGTTGTACAGTCAGAATTACAAAACCTGAAGTCCCTTCTGAGAGACCAGAGGTTTCCAAGTGCTTCTAAAGCATGGAACTTCAGAGTGGTTGTGAACTGCACCAAGTCCATGTTACACCAGATGTGAATGGAAACCTTCATCCTGTCCTCTCCTGTTAAAAAAACTCCAAACACTGCATAACCACTTCATTTCTCCAGAGGTAAGGAATGACCTGATAAATTAACGGTTCTATACAAAATCAGAATGTTCCAATTTTTACTAACATAAAGGGAGCTGAAACCAATAGGACAGCTGCGGGGTATAGAAAAGCGAGCAAATTCTGAAAACTAGCCAAATATGAGTGTGGTTGGGTTTCAAGACAGCTGTCGCCTCCAAACAGCTACAACATCCACACATGAGCACACTGAGAAAGGGAAGTCCATTGTAAAGATAGATAAAAATCAACCTTTTTCACTTTCAAAGGTTCTTTTGATCTTTCATGTGGATGATAACATTAAAACCAGTGGCATTTCTCTTAGAAAATGCCAAGTTCAATCTGGACAGACTGAACATATCACACTTCATTCCATATAGATTTTATGACTAACACGTGACATTTACGATTTTGTCTTTCAGACCACATCCCTCAGCTGAAAGAGGCATGAAGACTTACATCAAGCACAAATGATTTAAATTACACACAAAACACTCTGAAGCAAAATTAAAAGGCAACAAATATATTGACTTACCTGGTGAGTTTAATCGTTTTCCTAAAATCATTGGTAATCGGAGCCTTAAAGCCACCTTTCCTGAGTAAGGAGTCTATGGTCTGGATCTGATCCCAGTCTATTAAAAAGTAGAAGCAAGGGAAATGCTTCAATATATAAGTGATTTTTCAACAAGGTTAGAGATGCATTAAAAGGCTTCTAGAAAAGCACGCAATTAAACAGCAAATTTTGAGCTGTTAAGACATTCGTGGTCTTATGCATGCACACTATCTGCACATGCCAACAACGCCTTTAACTCATATTGGAACTGGTCTATAAAACAGTAATTCCATTTTCCATATGACCTCTCGTCTTACAAAGGTATGTGCCTTGCTTCTGTTGCAGGGACCCCAACCTGTTTTATTATGTGCCACTCAAGGTTAGCTCCTTAAGCCTTAAAATAAGGTAACACTTAGCTCTTTACATAGATAAATTGGGATCAACCTGATGCTCTAGTGATAGCACAGTGCACTGCTATGTGAGAGATCAGAGTTAAAATTCCTACCTTCGTCTTTTGCCCCAGAGCCGGGAGGATGCGATCACTCCACTCTGCTAGGTGGAGGAAAGGAGGCAATATTTTGAGCAGTTACCATGGTGACCGCTACTATATTTGAGTGGGAAGCGTGCTCCAGAGGGGCCCTGTTTTCTGCCCTCATCTGGAGGATGCTACTTTAGCAAGAATGAGGAGGAAAGGGACTCTCCTGTTGGTGCTGTGCAGCCTGCAGTTATCCTAGTTGGTGGGAGAAACATAGAAGAGGAAAGATGCAACGCTGAATGAAGCTAGAAGATCCATACTTCGAGATCCTCTATTTCTTAAGCCCTAAAGCATTTTTATGCTAAGATACAGCTGCACACAGATGTGGGATGAGAGAAAGGCCAGATGGAAACCCAGCAGCAAACAGCTGTATCAGGTGTCAGTTATCCAGATTAAGCCTGGTGGTTCCATGGCACTACTGTGAAGATAGCATGGCAATCCAAAAACAAAATCCGTACATTTCTGTTACCCAATCCTGTGACACAATGTGTTGACATTTTTGGCTGCCATCTCAAACCCACCTTGTTCCTTAGCAACCTCAGGTAAATACGTGGCTGTGCGTTTGACACCTTTCTCATTGATGAACTCTATTCTGATCCCATGGATCCCAACCTATAGATGGAAATGAATAGCCAAATAAGAGGTGTTTGCTAGCACTGAGTCCATGACCAAGATGTCATTCCCAAAACACTCTGTGTATCTCTCTCTATGGCCAGTTTGGCTTTTGCCTGGATAAAGACATTCTCTTCCTCACTATCCTTACCAGGCAGGTGCTACTAATAGCTCTCTTAGCAGCATAAAGGGCCTCTAACACCTCTCCTAGATAAGCCTAACCAGTCTCCTTGCTACTTCTCCTGAAGTAAGTCTCGTCAGAAGTCTGACAGCTTTCCATCTCTTATATTGGGCAAGAAAGACAGGATCTCTACAACAGTCATGCCTAAAAGAGCCCAACCAGAAAGTCTGTTTAATCCTTCTTGAACTAAAAACACTTCCATGGACAAGGTCCTAAAAAAGAATACCTTTGCTCTTAACTACTTTTTCTACCCAGTATCAAAATACTTCCCATTTTTTTTTATATATGTATTTACACCCATCTCCTATTGGGCCAAATCCATAGAACACTTTCATGTCTCTCTTATTCCTGTTCAGACTCCCTCCAACCAAAAGCATACTGCTAGGTCATTCTCTTCCACCCTCCTAGTTTTCTAGCCCTATTTCTTCTATTCCCAGTTCCTTCTATCCCCATACACTTCTGTAACGAAGGAGACACATCACCATGTACTAACTGGAACCCGAACGGAACGAAAGTGATGCAGAGTTCCAAATGCACCTGGTTCTCACCTCCCAGTCCAGGTAGTCACTGGCATCTTCAAAGTTAGTGAGGAGGGAGACAGAGCAGAAGAGTTTGGGCAGCTCCTCGCGGGTCAGGGGTGGAAATCGGCTGTCCTTAAGTGCACTAAAGGAAAGAGAATATATATTGCCTAATACAAGCACCACATTAAAGCGTCAGATGCTGAGTTATTCCCTTTTTGATTATGCCACTGTGAAACCATTTCTTTTTGCTACTGCAGAGACAGTTATTTGCACCACCTCCTAATGTGATGAACTGTAATGATGAATGCACACACTAGTGCAAGCTTTCTGGTGCTTGTCTCCAACTTTCTGCAGCTGGAGACAAATTATGTGCTACATAAGATGTCAAAAGCATTAGTATGCAGGATAGGTTCCGTATTAGCCCTAAAACATCAACCAAAATTCACCAGTTGGAAAGATGTTCCACTAAATCCTGATGTACTACCTCACCCTAACTATCATACATTTCTCAGGTTTCTTTTATTGTGAAGCATATAAAACTGAATCATGGCAATCCAGCATCTTAACCTTGAATCCTTACAGATCTTTGGATAATTAAGTTCAGATTACCTGGTTAATGTGTATTCCCTGAGTCCTGAGTGAAGATTCATGGCTGAAAAGGTCCCAATGCAGCCACGAAGCCGCTTGTCTCGCCCCGTCTTCCACGTCACAAAGAGTGGACTGGAAAGGCAAAAAAGAGAAATACTCCAGCCTCTGGAGACACCCGGTTGCTAAGGGGAGACCAACAAGGTGTAAAAGGCAATGCATGCATGCACTTGCTTTCTCTGCCTCTAATAAACCCCAATAGGCATGTTTTCTCACCTGCTATCTAGCAATAATAAAACCCTACAGATCCTCAAATTCAAAACCTCAGCATCTTCCCCAAACTTGCCCTCCACTGACACTTTCCTGGCCAGACTCTGCCCTGTCTTCTGACAAATGATATGGTTATTTGACCCCACTGATTACCTCTGTGAGTAACGGCCTCACTTAGTAGCATCCACTAGTTTACATGACAACCCAGATAAAAATTCCTACAGGTGAAGCAACAGATTACTTATTTATAGTACCACTGAACCTGACAGATCCCCAAGTGTTCTGCAAATTATCTACAATTCAGGTTTGTGCTATGCTTTTCTTTTTAAGGGATAAAAAGCCAGTCTAGGTTGTTGGGTTGTGTTTTTGTTTTGTTTTTTTTTTCACTGATATTTCCAGGACTTTATCCGACTTCTGGGTCCATCCCTAGTGCTCAGTTTATGTTATCATCTTTTGCTTACATTACATTTGATCTATATTACACACACTCCCTCCTGTTGAACACATATCTAAATCACAATATTACGACTACTCAAACATCACATGGATTTCTATTTTCTCATCCATTATCATGAGTTTACAGGCGTAACAGTAGATTCTCATTTCAATCTGTTAATGTAGAAGCCATGGTTAAGCCTCAGAGAACAAACAGTTCAGGACAACAGCATTCAGTAAACAGGTAAAGATGACTGATCATATTAAAAGCAAAAAAATGACTTCTACAGATGAGTGAAATTGCAAACAGCTGTAGAGAGACACAGTAAAGAAAGGACAATGCACCTCTACAAGAGCATCTGGAAAACGTTGCAAGGCAACTGATGCTGCTGATCTAACTATAAAACCAGGATGAGTGATCTTACGTTTTTCAGATTACAGAGTACTGAATACAAGATGTGGTTGCTTCAAACACAAGCATAAATGAGAAAGTCATTAGTGATTCCAAACATCAGTCTGTGGGTATCTATTGCACTTTAAAGGCAAGTCATTTGACAGAAGACACGCAGTGTTAGTAACTTCTCTGAGATGAGACAAACGTTGACAGGAGTTCTAGAACATAAAGACAGATAAACTGATTCTACAGCAGAGATCTGACACTTTCCTCAAACTCTTGAGGCTCTTGTAAGCAATGCATCTGTAGCAAACATTACACAAAACAGTAAGATATTCTATTCGGACAATAAAACCAGCATGGATTGTGGATAATTTCTCAAACACAGGCAACAGAGCTTCTTATGTCTAAGTATTTAGAACATAACTTAAACTGTAGTCGTAGAGCAATGCCCAGTGATGCTCCTCAGAGCAACAATAGAATTAAAAAACACTATCACAACATAAATCCATCATTCAGGATCTAGTTACCAGCTACGACCAAAAATAACTACCCAAAATAGCAAATTGCCCTTAAGTGATAATTGTGAAGTACTCTGCCCACAGAGGAAGCAGAAACATTCTTCCACAATCATCAGCCACCTTATATATACTTGACCAAGACAGAGGAGTTACTGTTCTAGTTCTCCACCACCCCCTCAAGGCACTGGCAGGGTATCTTTCCGCTAGACTTTCATCTAGCTACCATGTATTGAAACAGAAAACAGCAACAGCGTAAGGAAATACATTAGAAAGATAAAAGATACTAAACTTACAAAGGAGATTTCTGAGCAGCTGTCACAAGCTCAGTGGAAATTTAGCTTAATCTAAATGAAGTTTTGCAACCATTACTTAGCCCACATGAAACTCACCCTAAACAGAAAAGGGAAGGGAGAAAACAAAAAGCATCGCTGACACAATACAACTCTAAGTAAGCTCATTCTCTTCTTCAATTCAAATTACAGGTTTGCATTTTCAATTCACCTCTTTCCCATTCCAAAGAAAGAAAAAGAAAAAGGGGGAAGGGAGAAGGATGTTTCCACTGAGCTGTGACACAGCTTTCTGCATCTGTAATAGATTGTATCAGGAAGGACAGGATAATTGCATTCAGAAGGCCGTCATGTTTTAAAATACCTTAAAGCACACTTGGAACAATTTTTCACTGCAATTGTAACAACTGAGGCATAAAACCCCCCATAGATATATGATTTTGTACAAGTATATAAAATTTCACTATTAGGAAGATTTTCACTGTAGAAAAGATGTTGTTTCTGTATCTGAAGAATAAATGCACTTAGCAAATTGCAGGTGTGGCTGACACTAAGTCAATTGTTCCATAGCCCCTCCCTGAGAAGCGTATTTCCCAGATGTACTGAGAAAATCCACAACCATCCTTTACCCATGTTGACCCAAAAGCATGCACTGGTACTTCGCAGACTTATCCTCAGCTGATTGTGGCAATTGTTTCTCCCCCAGCCACAACATCCTACCTAGTTGTGTTTGAGGAGGGTTTGCTAGGCTGAGGGGAATTCCAGCAACTTAAAAACTAGCTTCTCCAATTGCAACTGCAAAGGGAATTTTTAAGGAGCAAAATATAGTTTGTTCAAATCATAATTTAGCTTGTACCAGGGAAAAACCTGTTACAGTACAGATTTTATGATGCGAGTACCTTATTATTTGCCTTGTAAGGCAATTAGAAACTTGCATGGTGTAGTTTTAGTACCAGTTTGTAATACCTACTATTAAAAAAACTCAAAGAGCAAAGTACAGAAGTGGAAGAAGCAACCAATTAACTACTTGCGTGCCATACAGGTTCAAAACTGTAATTTTTTCTAGTAATCTGAATAGCAGGAGGGATATTACCAAGTTAATTCAGACTTAACTATAAATCTGCCAATGCCACCTTCTCTATAGCGGTTTGTGAACATCACTGCTCACACGTATGTAAGGTTCCCTCACTCCATAGATATTTACCAGCTCCATCATGCCCATCAAAATTATAGTCCAATCTCTCAAGTTGGTAACTGCAATTCACTATGGTTTTCAAGTCATAACCCTTTAACTTTTGTTATTGCACTGTTTATGCAGAATCCTTACCTTTATGACTACTTCTATTTTGACTTTAGGGTTCAGCATCAATCTAAAAGATCTGTTATGCAAGAAATAGGTCGGGACAAACCTGTGCATCTTTCTATTCCTTCCATCCACAAGGCTCTCTTCTGTCTGTCCAGACAGACTGCTGGTATATATCTCTGTTTTGTCCAAAGATCTCTTACATAGACATAAATTATGCTATGAAGGACAACAATCCAAATTATTTCTGCGTCTCACTTTGCTTACTCTTGTATTTGACAACATTTGGCTTGAAGTTCATTACATTACTGTCTCAAGTGTGACAGATCATCCCTGTGTGCTGCTTTCCAAGAGAGCAAACCCCATGCTTTTCCCTGGGGTACACAGAACTATTTGCTAGAAGCCACAGCATAAATGCTGAAACACAGGAAAATTCAGGTAAATGCTGACATTTGCCCAGAGGGGAAATAAAAAGAAAAGCTGTTTTTTGCTCTGGAGTGCTGATATACAAGACTTGCAAATTGTCAGCACAGAAATGCCCAATGAATGATTTCGAACTTTTCAAATCTAGGCATCAAATTCAGACAGCCAATATTCCTGAAAGAACACCTTTTGTGGAACTAGTCAACAGGAAGAGCCACAAAATCCAGCTAGGAATCTCCTTTAACACCAAAATAACAGAGCTGTATAAAGCCATCTTTCTTACTGACTACAGAACAGAACAAGAAAAAAAAACCTTTGCATTTCAAGTGTCAAAATAATCAGCAAACTAACACATCATTTTCTAAAAGGAGCCTACTTAGCTTAGGTATGAGAAACAACAGCAGAAATACTTCAGTCTGGGGAGTCCCTGGAATTATTCTGTATTCCAGTCCAGTGTATTTCTCCATTCACTTGTATTTGCAATATTAAACAGCTTAGTCTGCAGTAGCATTCAGAACATGTATCCATAATCCTACTTGGATAATAACTGCATGGAAGCACAACCTACATCTACACTGACAGACAGTGAGGTGGGGAGACATTCAATACCTGGAAAAAGTCCTTGACCTGTTTAAGCCATTGTTCTTTTACATCAATTTAAAATTCATTAACTTAAATTAAGGATGTCAACAACTTTTTATTTTATCTATTGTTCTGGAGGTGGCCCCTGGAGGAGTGTCAGAAGGTGTCTCTGTCATTGATTCTTCCAACAAACACTTTAACAACATTAACATTTCCACACCCATGCACTCAACCTTCAGATAAACATTAGCTAAACCTCACCAAAGCAAAATACCTTCTTAAATCCTTCCCCTCACACATACCTCCTTTCCTATTAACCTTGGTATCACCCTTGAAAGTTAACTCTCCATTTCTCCCCATATTGCCCAACTAGCACTATCTCTGTAACACAGGTTTTGAGTTCTACAGCTAGTAAGTATTCCTTTCCCTGTTAAACCCATTAACTTGGACAGCTGAGCACCCTGGTGAGGGTCCTCATCCAGTTCTCACCAGCTCAGCGTTTGCTTCAGGATGAGCAGGGAACTTGTTTCAACTTCTTTATTTCCTTTCCATCTGCTTCACAGAAGGAAGTCTCTCCCCTGCCCCTTCACCAGTGCAGTGTCTGACAATAAAACCAAGACCCTCTTCAAATTAATGACATTATTTTACTGTTTTGTGGAAGTTCTGAGTTCAGTTTCACTCATTCCTTTAGTACACTTTTAAGGGAGGCACAGCCCAGTTAACCTTTTCAGAGCAATCTGTTTACAAAGAAGGGAGCAAACTTTAACAGAGCGTTATCACCAAGTGGGCTTGCACTCCTCGATAAAGTATGCAACGTCTAACGCAACACAGCAGACTGGGAGCTGAAGAAGCACCACTCTTCCTCCTATTTTGCCTAGCTCTCGTTCTGTCAAGCTGGGCATGTTCTCTTTTGAAGACCACTCCTCAAAGCTCCACTCATCCCCAATGACAAACACAACAGAGTATTTTGTACTCTTTCATACACTTACAGCACATCACTTTTTGTTTCCAATAGACAAAGCAAGCAGCAGAACAATCCCCTTCCTCCCCTCACAACAGTTTTCCCATCCACCAGAGGAAACCCTTCATCCCTCCCCAGCCAAACCACAGCTCTGGATGCTGGTTTCCAAGATATCCTCCCACACATGGATTTACTCACTAGGGGTCATTGGTAAATCGAGGAAGTCGTGGCTGAGGGAAACCATAAAGATGACAGTAGAGTACATCAAAGCAGTAGCAGCACATCTCTGCTGTCACCACCAGGTTCTTGGTGCTGTTGGCAGTTCCATTGGGCCGAGTAAGTGGGCTCAGAGCTCCTGAAGTGGGATTCATTCGAGTAACTGGGGAATTTCCTGGGCCCAAAGTCAAGTCAGATACATTCTCCCTTCCATTATTCCCGTCTGTGTGCTGGTGGTTCTGAAGAGGACCTGAACTGGAGCCTGGTATAGTTGTGGCCTGATTCCCATGACTGTGCGTTCCACTCCCAGATAACTTGGGCTTCTTCACCCCACAACAGCCAGCTGCCAGCTTGGGCTCAAGTGGAGGAACACAGCGTCTTTTTCCCATCCTGCTTCACAACTTGCTGCCTGGAGCACTGCAGAACCCTGGCAAGGAGGGAGGGAGAAAAAAAGCAATGAACAGTTACAGGTGAAAAGCCAACAACAGCTTCCTTGCTTCTGCTCAGATGTCAGAGAGGTTTGCTTCTGCAACAAAAAGAGGAAGAAAACCCTCACAATGTGCAACCAAGTACAGACCTAAAGCCAGTTCAGCAAGTAGAGTGGTTTTACACATAGATTGGAAGAGTGTGTACACAACATGCATGAAATCACACTTGTGAAGTCATTGCTGAGGTGTACTGAACACTTGGTGGCTCATCACACCCCCCCCAATAAACAAATGAACATAACCAGCTTTCCCATAAAGGGAATTAAACTGCTGGGAGAGCAGAACAAAAAAAGACAAAAGGACTTCAGACCAGATATACCCCGTCCACTGCTTTTCCAGATCACTCTCCAACCCCTGGTCAGTCCCTGCACAGATGGCAAACAAGCTACTGAACAACCACAGGTGCATTCCCCTTCCCCATTCTCAACAGAAGAGTGACAACTCCGAATGACACCTGCAGGGGTTGGAGTCCTAGGGTTTCTGCCCTTGATTTAGCTCTATCCTAAGCAAGACACAGAGAGAAGCTACAAGCACTGAACCTCCATTTTCTAAACAGCAGACTGTTTTCCAGACCCAGTGAACTCATGAATCTGCATTTACTTTCTAGGATTAAGTAAATCAATAGCACTCATAAATAAACACGTGCAGTCAGGATATGCAGGAGAGGAAGAGCTGAAGACTGCACACAGTCTGAACAGAGGGAAGTGATGATGGCAGGAAACAGATAGAGTACTTAAGAAAACCAAACAAACCAACCCCAGTATTTTGCTTGCAAAGAAGGTAATGCTAGCTCTTGCATCACAAGAAGGGGTGGAACAAATACAGGGAGGAAGGCCTATGCAGACAAAAATGATAGGCAAGGAACATATGTCAATGGTAACATCTTAATGAGTGTAATACCATCACCATGATATCTAAACACACACACACACAAAAACCAGTCCCCCATCTGTCAAATGGGGCTAAAGCATGGGCATGTTAATCACAGAGAACACAGTGGGGAACTGGAAGTCACACTCTGGCCCTTGCTGCTTCTTTAACCCCAGCACATCCCTCCAACTCTTCCAAGTACTTAACTGATGGCTGAACTGACAGCACATACAGAACGGAGGTAGGTGACAGGCACTGAAATCCACGGCATGACAACTCCCTTCCTTCTCTGTGCCTGTGGGTAATGCAAACTTGATCCATGAAGCTTCACCAGCCATCATTAGGAGTCCTATGATCCAGAATCCATATTCCAGAGAGATGCGCACCCTAACACAAAACACGAGCACTCGGAGTGCTTGCTCTGCCCCTCACATTCCAGAAGGATAATCTCTATCAGGAACAATTTACAAGGCCTAGCGAAATTTACCATTTTTACTTTGAACTCTGCCTTTGTAAAAAAAAAAAAAAAAGTATAACTTTGACAGTGAACACACCATTTTCTCCAGTGCCTAGTGGAAGTTACCTGCTGTGTCCCAGCGACGCTGCTGGGGCAGAGGAGCCTTTCCAAGTTACTCCTGAAGGCTCAGCCACATTTCAGGGTGAAAAACTATTTAAAGCTATAGCTCTTCATTTCACACCGGAGACGTGGCAGGGGACAGAGGAGAGATTGCCTCCATTTACCACCCCCTGCAGCAAGCAGAAAGGCCTCACAAAACCGGCGGTACCGCTCCCTGAGCGGCTTCAGCGAAGGGCACCGCTTTCCGCCGCGGGAGGCCCCTACTGCCCTGCCCGGGGCCGCCGCTGCACGGCGGCCCGAAGCGGTGCTGGCTGCCGAAGGCCCAGCCTGCCGCTCCGCCACCGGATCCGGACATGGGGTTGTCCCGCTCCCGAACCGGCCTCACTGCACCGGGGCAGCACCGCGCTGCCCGGACCCGCGGGACGAGCCCCTTGCGCTCGGACACAAACTTTGCGGCGGCGTCGCCGGGGTGGCGGCAGCACGGCCCGGGCAGAGCCCGCAGCTTACCCCGCACCCCGCAGGGCACAGCCGCCACCCCGTGGTGGGGCAGAACAGCCGCCGGTAGGGGGCGCCAGGGAGCGGGATTCCCCCCCTTCCCCCGCCGCCATTAACCCCTTCCCCGCCGCCGGGCGGGCGGATACCGGCGCCTTCCCCCCGCCTCTTCCCCACCCTCCCCGGGCTCGCCCACCTCCTGCACCCGTCCCGGGCCGGACGCGGCTTCTCCTCCGCCTCAGCCCTGCCGCCGCCGCTGCTACCCCGCCGCCTCCTTCTCCCGCCTCATGGAGCCATGGGCCTGAACGAGGCTCCCCAGAGAAGCGGGCCCGGCGGGCGGGGGGAGGCAGGGCCCGCCGCGGCCGGGCCGGGAGCCGGGCTTCCCGGGGCCGCCGGGTAGCGCGGGGACCTGGAGGACTAGAGCGAGGCCGAGGGAAGGTCCTCCGCTATCCCGGCAGCCTCCTCCCTGCTCGTGAGGTAATAAGGGAAAAATGTACATAGTCCGCCAGCCTCCCGTCGGCCCCGTGGTGCCGCCACAACCATAGAGAAGAGAGGACGCTCTTCCCTCCGCCTCACAACCATAGACACCGCGGACTTCCGCTCCCCGCCGGGGGGGGGGAGGGGGCAAGACGCGCGGGGTCGGGTTCCCTCCCCCGTCACGTGACGGGCCGCACGTGCGAGGACAAACAGTGTCGGGGGCGGGAGGGGCCGCGGGGCTCCCCCGGCGGCGCTCCCGCACTGGCGGGGGGGGGGGGGGGGGGGGGGGGGTTGTGCCGCTCCCCTATTGGCCAGCAGGCTCTATGACGGAGGCGCCCAGAGGAGGGGCGCGCGGTCGGAAGCATCCATTCTACAGCTCCCCCTCTCCTCCCCCCCCCCCCA